CCAAGTAGTTCCAGTATATCATATTATTTGTCAGTAGTCTGTGGTGTTTCATTATCATACTTTTTATTGTTTAACATAGACATCTGTATAAGTAGATCACACCAGTTGTAAAATGTGCTTGCATATTATGGCCCTAGGCATTTTGAGTTCAAAATACAAGTATAATGGACAGCTTTATATCATGGCTTATGATGCTTTTTTCCCACTCCAGCTGATTTAACATGCTCTTCTTTTGTCTAGGAATACTTGTTGCTGTTACTGGTGTTCATTAATTGTTTCCAAGCTCATACACAAGTAATATTTAATGTAAATATTCAAATGAAATTATATAAAAACAGAATACTTTTTACATAATAGGTGAAGCAGAATGTAACTACAGCAGAGTTTACTGTTAGGTATCTTAGGACTGACTTTACTTTTCACATCCCTATTTCTCTTCCAGCAGAAGAGATTAGTAGTATTCATTGTATAAGCAAAGTGCCATAACTAAAGGTCCAACCTCATGGGAATAATTGGAAAAGTAAATTCATGTGAGATCCTGTGTACAACCAGCGGTCCTAAAAAGTCCCTGGTCATGAAGTGTTACAACTTAGATTTTTCAGGGAAGTATTAGTGTAAAGACATATATGCAACAAAAAAAGATATTCACAGTATTTCAGCCCTATATTGACCTCTGTATTTACTTTCATTATTCATAGTATCCATTCAAGCTAGAGGCCTTTTATTTGCATCTAAAATGTTGAGGGATCATGTCCTGGCCTCTACATTTATTTTTGTTTAAATTAACCCTTTACGTTAAAAGTTCCTGCACTAGGAGCCTGGTATAGTTTATCTTTTCAGGTTGCACAGATTTTCCATTTACATTTTCTTGATTCTACCAGGTTTTGTCACTAACATTTCAAAATTATTCTTATATGTTAGCAAGACTTTACATTATTGCAGAATTCACAAGTGAAAATTTTTAACCTGTAGTATTCTGAGGTCCTGTCTGTTCCTAACCATATAAACCATACCCCAACCACACACAAAATGTGATTTCCCAATCACCCCCAACACCTTTTAAATAGTTTTATCAACCCCTAAGGTTGATACCGTTTATATGGTATAGAAGTGCCTTAAAAACTGTATTGAATCATAGAGCAGTAGGGCTGAAAGGGACTTCTAGAGGTCATCTAGTCCAAACTCCTTGCAAGAGGCAAGATCAGCCCTATCCAGATCATCCTATACAAGTGCATTGTTTAACCTCCTAGCAAAACTACATAGTGAACCCAGGCACAGCACAAGACATAGCCTAACCTGCCACCAGTAAAGCAGAGGAACTACAGTGGTCAGCATTCTGCTGCTACAAGCATTGTTAAAATACCCTTGAGAGATCCCAGAAAGAGGATCTCTCTGACCCCTATCACAGAAGAAAGCTTAAACCACCTACAGTTTATAGCAGTCCGACCAGAGGTGAAATTCCTTCCTGACCCCAGATATGGCAATGACCCCAGTCTGACCTTGGAGGGCAAAACGTTCTATCCAGGAACCACAGGGTTTAAGTCCTGGAAGGGAAAAGGTAAATCAGTATAGCATTTCTTTGCAGTAAACTTTGGTTAATGTGCAACTCCAAAGAGAATGCAAATAATGACTAATTACCAGGTAGTGACTCAGATGAATCGGAAGAAATGGCCATTAAATCATAATAGGAAGTTTATCCCAAAGGCAAATTAATTCTGCAAAGCTAACCAAGTAAACTCTGTACCAGTGTAACTGCATCTGTGCTAGACTGCTTCTACCAATATAGCAAAAGTGGCAAAGTTTTCTGGGGTAGGCAGGTCATAAGTTCTGAGGTGCAGTTTCTTCTTTGTTCTTTTGTGTTTTAAAAGAAAAGGCGATGCTCCATAAAAATTAAAAGGAATTCTGAAGAAGGAATTGTTACAGGAATCATATCTGCAGCATGTGTAGCTAATTCAAATTAAAGTTAGAAATTATAAATGTGTGTGTGTGCTTTAAATGCTCATGTGTATCTATTTTTTATTATTTATTTTTCCTGCAGTTCATCAGTAGGATATTTGCAGCCTCCAGGATCAGAGCAGATACAGTTTCCTAGAACATCTTCCCCTTGCAACTCCCAGCAGCTTCAAGGACAACAGTGTGCAGGTGTGGGAAGATAATCTTTGGTGGTTGGGAAACATAAACAGAATTGCCTTTGTTGAATGGCCAAGAAAAGTTCTAGCCATTATTATGTTGTGTAATTTGATACATGCTGCTGAAGGGTATGTTTTAGGATTAATTACTATGTTAGCTTAATAGAATTCATTTCAATTCTAGCATTTAATGCATTTCAGTTACCCTGAGGGGTTAGTCTGACTTCTTACTTTTCTGCTTCATGTCATAGAAAGTTTGCAGATTGTTTCATTAAAGTATAATGATTTATGTTAAAATACACTACTTGAATATATGCTTCAGAATTGAGACCAGTAAAAAGCTGCAAGCAGAAACTAAATTCTGAGTGAAAAGATTTGTTTGAAAGACAATAAATTTACTAGAATATTTCTCCTTACTCATCATTTGTAACTTGCATTAAGTTAATGTTGGGAACTTCCGTGCAGCTGCAGGTGTTTAATTTTCCAGAACCTTACAGGATGTAAAGCTTTCAGTAGCCTAGATTCTGCATATATTTTGAGAAGTAATGCAGCTTAAAATTACGTTGTGAATCTCTTGAAAAGGATCATCCTGCAGAGATGATTGGACTGCCCTCTCTTGAGATTTGAGCTTGCACCTGATCTAGCATAGTGTAGATTTCACCAGCTGATCCAGGAGTAGTGCTGAGTAGCTTTGAAGAGAGAGTCCTGGAAAGGTAGTAGAAATAGCAGGTATTCTCTGGGCTGTAGGCAGGTGTAAAGTAAACCTTTGGACTAGAGTGCAAAGACAATTGACCCCTCACATTTTTTTTGTCTGATAGGCTTATTTATTGTTTTCATTTTCATAGTTTATATAATCATTTGAGTCAGCAGCCACCACCTCATTCACTATTGCTGCATTTATCATAGTCAGACCTATAACAGAGTCTTTCCCTTCTGCAGTGTGGTGTAGTGTCTCCACCTTTATCATGTCAAAATTCACCTGCTGATTTTTCAATCATGCAGCCAATAGAAGGGATACTTCCTTAGGGTTTTTATATAAGCTGCTCTGTCCAAAGAAAAATAGTAAATTATTACATTGTTCTGTCTCTTAGCCAAGAACTTGGCTGTAATCCAGCGCGTTTCTTCTAGCTGAGGTATACTTGCTGATTCGTTCATTCCATGTTATATCAATCCACTGACATAAAATGAAAACATGACATTCTAAACTGTATAACAAGTCAACTTCATAGGCAGGTGCCTCAACAGATAAGAATGTGACTTAATGGAGCCACCTGTTTAATGTCATAGGTGTCATAGGCATTAGGGCTGGAAGGGACCTCGTAAGATCATTGGGTCCAGGCCACTGCCCAAGGGGCAGGAAGTCAGCTGGGGTCAAAGGATCCCAGCAAGATATGCATCCAAATGCTTCTTAAAGGAGTCTAATGTAGGTGCTTGCACTACCTCTTGTGGGGGGCGGGGGAGTCTGTTCCAGGCCTTGGGGGCTCAGACAGTAAAGAAGCGTTTCCTTATCTCCAGCCTAAAACAGTCTTGCAGCAGTTTGTGACTGTTGGACCTTGTCATCCCCTGAGGTGTTCTGGTGAACAGACGTTCCCCAAGATCCTGATGCACACCCCTTATGTACCTATAGGCTGCCAAGTCACCCCTGAGCCTGCACTTCCCCAGGCTGAAGAGTCCCATAGCTTGCAGTGTCTCTTCATAAGACCTGTTCTCATGCCCTCTGATCATGTGCGTGGATCTCCTCTGGACTCCCTCAAGTTTCTCCATGTCCTTCCTAACTTATGGAGCCCAAAATTGGATGCAGTACTGCAGCTGTGGCCTCATCAAGGCTGAGTAGAGCGGGAGGATAACATCCTGGGTCTTGCTTGAGATGCATCGATAGATGCAAGCCAGAGTTTTGTTCACTTTGCCAGCTGCAGTATCGCATTGGTGGCTCATCTTGTGGTCAATTTAACTTTAATCACACTTCAATATTTGATTCTAACAAAATGGCAGATGTGTGAAGGCACTGACATAAATAGTAAACTCTATAGGTAATTGTAATAGCAGTGACAGAGCTTTTCAGTCCAACATGTTTTTACAAATGTTGACTGATATCCTAAGAGCATGATGCAGTTAAACACTTAGCAACTGCAGTCTTTACTGAAAACAGTAGGACTGTTCATGAAATTTAAAGGCTTTAGGGTTAGGACCTAGTATGTTCTGGAGCAGTGCTACAATCAAGTTAGTGGTGCTCGTATTTTATTAACCAGTGAACTTGATACATTAGGAGTTAAGTGATTTTCCCCAAGCCAAGTTTATAAATATCTTTTCTTCCTGTGAACATACCAATAGACCACACTTCTCTCTGTCAGAGACCTTAATTGCCCTATAACTAGGTTTCATATTAATAATTTATTTTATTAGATCATTTCCGTGCCCCACATTATTGGGCTTACTGATGAAGATGAAGGGGTTACTTTCAGTATGGTGGCAAGATGGCAGACATTTTAGGAGCTCAGTGTTTTAGTTCATCGGCATTATTTTTTTCATTCTGTTTGAAGCTTGGCTGTCTGTGATTCTTGAAGAGTGAGTCACTTCAGAATGCCTAAAAATAAACCAGACAGTCTAATGAGTTCACTAATGTGTTTTCCCACCCTGGCTAGACAATAATCCGTCCTGACCATTTTGGTTTAATGCCACTGGGAGTCATGGATTAGAGCTATCAAACAGAATTTAAAAAAGAAAAAATTGAGAGAACTGGGAGAAAAGGGGGCAATTCAGGCAATAGTGACATTCAGGGACAAGCATTTACATGCAACTCAAAGAGTCTACTTCAGAGATGACAGACAGGATATTCTCAGCAGTCTAAAGGGAGTATGAGGAGACAAGGAGCTGGGAGCATCTTCTCGGAAATGAATTATATCGGACTGGGCTTGAATTCCTTCAGCTGCTTTGAAAGACAATCTTGGTTTTCCTCCTCATGTATCATAAATGATAATAAAGGTTCTGCAACCCAACTTACGTTTGTTCAGGGATAATAAATTGGAATGGACTTAAAAAATATGTTGCACAACATGAAATTAAATCCAGCTTTTCCCTCTCAATGGTGGGGGAGGGCTAACAGGAATAGAAAAAAGCAAGTAGTTTGTTATCAAAATTAGCAGATAGGCCTGAGCTCCACACACAGCACATCATCACTTTGTATATTTTCAAGTGGTGAAACTGTTTAGAAATACTGTCTGGAGTAACTTTCATTTTTTTGAAAGTGTTGTTATTTTGTCCTTCCAAGAAATGAACAATTGGGGGTGGGTGGGTGTTTGGCAGTACAGACTGGAGGGTTGGGGAGGGAGAGGGGGACCAAATATTAAAAAAAAAAAAAAAA